TATAAACATATTAGGAAGACTTACACCTGTATATAAACATATTAGGAAGACTTACACCTGTATATAAAACATATTAGGAAGACTTACACCTGTATATAAAACATATTAGGAAGACTTACACCTGTATATAAAACATATTAGAAAGACTTACACCTGTATATAAAACATATTAGGAAGACTTACACCTGTATATAAAACATATTAGGAAGACTTACACCTGTATATAAAACATATTAGGAAGACTTACACCTGTATATAAAACATATTAGGAAGACATACACCTGTATGTAAAACATATTGGCAAGACATACACGTGTATATAAAACATATTGGCAAGACATACACGTGTATATAAAACATATTAGGAAGACATACACGTGTATATAAAACATATTAGGAAGACATACACCTGTATATAAAACATATTGGCAAGACATACACCTGTATATAAAACATATTAGGAAGACATACACCTGTATGTAAAACATATTATTTTCAAGTTATCTTCTCCTACACAAAGTTAGTAACAATAGATGCACAAGACCCAAATGTGATATACAGACTTAACGGAGTACTAATGAAATGGAATTTTCAACCTGAACATCAATCACCTTATGCGCACGTGGGCTAACCGGCCAGTTCAATGAACCATAAGATTCAGGTAATACTAACCCTAATTTTGAATTACTGACCAGAAGGAAAGAACACACACAATTCTAGTTTTTTCAGTCGAATGAGAGAATTTACTGTTACTTTTATAATGCGCTTACACCTGCAAGTACGGAGCATACTCAGCAGTACCACGTCTCGAGCCTCGAACCTTCTAACACGCTAACTACTAGGCCACTCCTGACCAAAAAGTTGGAACAACTAAGTTTCTGACACATTCCTGAGAATATTTTCAAGATTATTTGAAGATTTGTTAGAAAATCTGATAAAAACTTCAGTTGCAAAAATAAAATAAGATTAATCTATTACTACTTTCTTTAGAAAAACAAAATGACGTATTGAAATTCTGGTCATTGTTGTTGTTGTTGCACGATTAAGTTACTTTGAGATGACAAAGTATCACATTATGCCGAATAAAAATCTCTATAAATAAGAAATACTTTGTAGAGCCTGCAAAAATAAAATAATGAAAGAATCCGCTTGTTTTTAAATCATGTTTAATACAACTTACACATGGATTTTCAAAGAAATATTAACAAATTGTTTTCAAATTTCTGAAGTTTAGTTCACGCTACCTGAACTGCGCACTGATAAACGTGCTGCAACGGGACTCCACAATTGGAGGGAAGAGAACCTGTGCCAATACTAAATTCCTCTGTTTTCTAGCGTGTAGATCTTTCTTACAACATTTTTATATTTATTTCAGTATGTTTACTACAAATAAGAAGATATATTTAGCTTGAGACTTGGTATTTAAAAAGTAAATAATAGGCTTAACGACTTACTTTGAAACTGTTTTAGAAGAACAAGTCCACGCCGTTCATTTCTAGTGAAACTAATGGGTCCCTGAAATGACAAGTTTTATAGAAATTATGTTGGAACTTTCTCTACCAAACAATATAAATCAGAGAAATTCTCGCCATTTTCATTTACTTATCCCTCAGTTTAGAGAGACGTCAGTCATTATAAACAGGGCATTGGAAAACAGGAACGAAGTGTTTAAAATGGATACGTTAGTCATTATAAACAGAGTATTGTAAAACAGGAACGAAGTGTTTAAAATGGAGACGTTAGTCATTATAAACAGGGTATTGTAAAACAGAAACGAAGTGTTTAAAATGGAGACGTTAGTCATTATAAACAGGGTATTGGAAAACAGAACGAATTGTTTAAAATGGATACGTTAGTCATTATAAACAGGGTATTGGAAAACAGGAACGAAGTGTTTAAGATGGATACGTTAGTCATTATAAACAGGGCATTGGAAAACAAGAACGAGGTGTTTAAAATGGATACGTTAGTCATTATAAACAGGGCATTGAAAACAGGAACGAGGTGTTTAAAATGGAGACGTTAGTCATTATAAACAGGGCATTGGAAAACAGGAACGAGGTGTTTAAAATGGAGACGTTAGTCATTATAAACAGGACATTGGAAAACAGGAACGAGGTGTTTAAAATGGAGACGTTAGTCATTATAAACAAGGTATTGGAACACAGGAACAAAGTGTTTAAGTCCAAAAATTTGAGGGAAGTTGCTGTGGTTCAATAATTATTGATTTATAGCAAATGTTTTCCCTCCGATATTATATAACAATCGTACACAGTCATGATCATAGCGATATCACGACTTCGTGCAAGATCATGATCATAGCGATATCACGACTTCGTGCAAGATCATGATCATAGCGATATCACGACTTCGTGCAAGATCATGATCATAGCGATATCACGAGTTCCTACAAGATCATGATCATAGCGATATCACGAGTTCCTACAAGATCATGATCATAGCGAGATTTGTGAACAACCCCTAAATGTTAACTGTTCATTTGTTTGAGAGCAAAGTCACATCGGGTTATCTGCTGTGTACACCGCCGGGAATGGAACCCTGGGTTTTAACGTTGTGAGTTCGTAGTCTTACTGCGTAAAGAACATTTTATGTTTGTGTTCTACAGAAATATACTTATTTAAACTTGTTTATTTGTATACAGGGTGATGCAAAAATTACACGCAACAATTACATTTGTAAATCCTGCCCATACAGTGATTTTATGGACATTAACCGTCTTTTTTTGTTGTTGATTGGGAAGTTATATCAAGATATCAACTGTGAACAGTCATAAAGGCAGGGCTAGGTCAAGTCATGGTTGTGAGCTGCTTTTGCGTCACCCTGTACCGCAAAACAATTATAGTATAACTTTATTATAGTCCTAACAAAATATCAAATCATCATGATAAGTTATAACTGAGTCACATAACAAAACGGTTGGTTATTATAGTATAACTTTGTTATAGTCCTCACATGTTTGTTGCAGGTACTCCAGGGCTATCTAACCGTCCCTATAAGGAAGGCAACTAGTCAACACCACTCACCGCCAACTCTTAGGTTACTCTAGGTTGACCAAATGGTAGGATTTTACCATCACTCGAATAGTATGTTCACAGCGCGAAGCATGTTCTGGCGGTAAAGGGACGTAAACCATGAATCCTCGAATATTTTCAAGTTTTTCTTCCAACTCGAAGTACAATAACCACTGGGCCACGCCCGGCCATTGTGATTATTATAAATTCTTATTTTACGATACCACATAGCCCTAATGAGACCAGTATATTATCTATAATAATTACAGAAATGAATGATAAGCAGTGAATTCCAGCTCTTTCATCTCCCATTACTTTATCCATTCGTATACTGGTTACACATGCAGTTTAATAAGAAATACATTAACGGTTCAAGCATATATTATTAGTATCTCTAGAAAAATAGTTTATCAACAACGAATACGTGTTTTTTAACCCTACCGAACCAAAGATGTCGACAGCATACCACGATTTTGTTAACTCTACCGAACCAAAGATGCCAACTGTATACCACGATTTTGTTAACTCTACCGAACCAAAGATGCCAACTGTATACCACGATTTTGTTAACCCTACCGAACCAAAGATGCCGACTGTATACC